AAAACATGGGTCGTGATATCTGGGTGACCATGGACTACTCTTCATGGATGTGCGAGAAGAACCACAGTAACACCCAACAAGAAGAGTTTGCTCACATCCATTGGGATTTGTGATCTTCATAGACTTTAGGTCTTGTTTTCTTTTGCAGCTAAGAGATTGTTTTGTGGATAATCATAACGTTGCCTTTCATTTTGTCAGGAATTCTGGGAGTAGCAAAATCGGGGAGGGGTGTTTGCAGTGGGCTCTGTCTAATTGACCCTAAAACTGATGAGCTGAATCACCTGTAAGCTTGGAAGATTTCTCGTCTACAACTTTTGAGTTATCCTCGTTGAGAATGTCTCAACTCATCATGCAAACTCTGCTACTGGTGCTTTGAGTCAAGAGGGGATTTCACCATCCCTGGAAAGTTCACCACACAACATGCCAATCTATTTGCAAAAGTCTCCCTCTCCTGGACAAGCTATGTAGGTCCTTTTGAGCTGGCTTGTGCTATCATATTAACATTCGTTCCTGGGGATGTAGCAATTAAAATGACTTCCGTTCCTGTCATTTGGCACCAATCACTGCTCCAGTATCATGAGTGCCAAAGGAGGCGGTCCTACCTGCTTTTAGGAAGTTCTTCTGTGGAAAGAAGCCAGCCAGAATGGTCACCCATTGTGGGGAACCAGCATTGCAATTCTGGGGATTCCTTAAATGATTTCTTCTAAAGATATTGTCAACATCCAGCTGGAGAATCCAAATAATCCATCTTGTTTCCGAAAACCTTACTGTCTGTTGAATACACGGCATAGTAACGTGGAAGCAAAACTAACTCTGAGGTTCCCAGATACCAGTTCATAGAATTAAACAATAATTTCCCCAGCCAAAGCCCCAATCTCTTATGTAGTCCATGTAAACAATTTCACTTTGTTATGGGAACCGTCTGCTTCCTCACCGCACCTGCTGCGGTGCCCTTGGAAGGGTTTCAAGCTCTCAGTGTCTTCAGCTGAATCATAGAGGTTTCATTTCTCCATCTAACCCATTCTACAGCAACACCTCCCCACCCCCAATCTAATGGCAAGTTGAAACGAAGAGACACGCAACTGCAAGTTTCATTCTTGACAGATATGTTGAGCAGAGATGAACTTTTAGAAATCGTCTTATCAGCCAAACCATATTCCGATTTTCCAGAAAACCCTTAAGAGAGGGTTTCTTTTTTGATTTTCCAGTCTTGGAATCCTTGGTGTCTCCCATACAAATCCTAACCAAGATTGGTCCTGCTTAGTTTCCAAAATTAGTCAAGGATCTCTAGGTGCTACTGCTTGAGGAGGTACAAGGTAGCTTCCACTTTCCAAACCAATGCTTCTTGTTGGATCAAAACCTGTGCTAGCATTTTGCCCATTTAAGTACTAGAGGACACCGGTTAAATGGAAGCATCTCTTCCAGAAATAGGCACCCGAGCCCAGCAGCAGAGAGTGCTCCAAACAACAGCTGTGACCTGAACAGAAGGTTTTTAGCTTGATTGCTAAACAGGAAATGGAATACTAGTGGAGCAAAAAGGAGCTGATCCAGTTCAGGAGGGAGTTGGATGGAATGTACTGCTGCTATTTTCAAATGCTTCCTGATAAATGAGAAAACCCCATAGGGCAGCAGTCTCCAACCTTTCCGGGGGGGTGGATGAAGGAGGGATGGCTCTGTAGGAGTGGCAGGCGCACACAGCTTCATTTGCACAAATGGAGTTTGGCGAGTGCGTGTGCCCGCCCGCTGCTTGTGGAAGTGGAGCTGCGTGCACTTGCCCATCCTGGTTCTGAACAGGCCATGGCCCGGTAGAGTTGGGGACCCCTGCCATAGGGGACAGAAGTTCAAAGATGGGATTCCCATGTGCGGCCCAACCTATGTAAGTCAATGCCATGCACGTAATCTTGGTCTTGTGTTGGGCTTAAAACTGCCCACCTCACAATTTAGGGCCTCTGGACCTCCACCATCCAAAGCGGGATGTCTTCAAGAAGAATATGTGCTGAGGGAATCATCTTGACTGGAAAATCAGAGAGGATATTGCGAGGGAATCCGTGTGATCCTATAGGCCAGGGGTGTCAAAGTCACAACGTCACGTGATGTGTCGTGATGTATCGTGACTTTTCCATTGCCGGCAACGAGATAGGCACGGTTTTGGTGTGATGCATCCGGCCCCTGGGCCGGCAGTTTGACACCCCTGATATAGGCTAAGTAACACCTATACTAGAAGCTCACCTGTAAGGATCAAAATAGGAACAGGATGAGGTCTGAATTGGCATACTTGGATAATCAACCACCGGGGGGAAAAAACACAAAGAAGCCGGGGAAATATTAGCATGATAAACCTTTATTAGCAAACTGTTCCCTACCATCAAAGACTTCCGGATTTTTTCTCACGTCTGCTCTTCATAAACCCAGGTTACAGCTACCAAGGCGGTTAATTTTGCATTGATTTGCGTGTTCTGAAACACTATCTCCAGGCCACCAATGGTAAGGAAGGAAGGGCTGCCTAGACAAACACGACAACTCATCAGAAGAACAAGTGGGGGAGTGGGGGGGGAAACGCTGTGGTTAATCACCGATCCGGACAGAAACGCAAGACAAGCGGATGGTCCCAACAAAAGCACAGAGGACACTCGGCAATGCCACAACCACCCATCAGAATCAGTCTTTTCAGGACACAGAGCAGCTGAGAATGGATGGGGTGGAGGGCATTTGGGGCGCTGCTGCTTTGGGAGATCGTAGCTTCTCTTTATGAAGGCTTGAGAATTTGGAACAGGCGCCTTCAGTGGGACGCCCAACAGCCTTCCAGCAGCAGCAGTAGTTTCCCTCCGAGTGCAAACGGCGGCCTTCTGTGCGTTAACAAAACTGGCACCTCGTGGTGAATTGTCTGCTTGTTTTTGGTCTCCCTGAGATTTTCCTCTAGAGTCCAACCAGCCCTTTTCATTAGCAAAGAAGACAACACATCAACGAAACCCAACGCGTGGTTAGGACATTAACCATCCCCAGTCCCCAAGGAAGATTAAGGAGGAGGCAAATTCGAACTCTCGTGCAAGTGAAAACAAGATCCTCTCCGCCGTCACCATCCCTTCTCCTCCTTTGCTTAGATTCTTCCCTCCTGACTCAGTGGTTCAAACGTAAAGCAGGCAGCACTCGCTCACGGAAGGGGGGAAAACCGAGGAGGGTCAGCCACCTTCGGCGAACAGTGAGGCTACCTCCTCTTCCTCTTCTTTTCTTCCTCTTCCAGGGGAATTCCAAGTTTCAACGTGCAAAACTAAAATGTTTCCGTTTTTAATTCAGAACATAAATACAGAGAACCTCTAACAAAAAATACGGGAGGACACAAAACAAAACTCTGCGGCAACGCATCTATAAAAAGAGATGGGCAGGCGTGCCTCACCTTCCAAATAAATACAAAATAAATAATGTTTCTAAGCAGTAAAAACAAAAGAGTGAAATGAGAGAGGCTGGCCTCCGAAAAAGTCAGAGATTTCCTCCCCGAGAGGACTGAGCAGCCCTTGGGAAAGTCAGAAATACGGCTGCTATGATTTTCCCCTTTTTCTTGGGAAAAGAACCTCGCGGGAAAAAGGGATTAAAAACCACCCTAGGCAGCTCACCCTTTCCATTCCCCGTGAAGACAGCCATTATCAGCTAACCCCTTTTGCTCCCTGTAGCAAAAGCTACTTGTTACCCACCCACCCCAATATATATATATATAAATAAATAATAAGGCTGCAATCCGCTTGCCTACCCTAAACCAATGTGTGGGCGTCCCTCGATAAAAGATCTAGAGGAACTAAAGAAAAGACAGAACACCCACGGGGTCCAAGAGTTTCCCCTCAAAAAGGGGGGGCCCTCAAGAGCCAATGGGTGGTGGGGGAAAATAGGTTACAAACGGGAAGCAGGGGTTTTGTGTGTTTTTTTTCCCCCTCCCGATAATCAGCAGCGAAGACCCCACCTTGAAAGGGGTCTTCAAAAAGGCAGACCTTTTAATAAGTGCATTTCATTTCTGCAGGATGGCAAAGATATTGACCTCTCTGCTCTGCCTGACCAGCTTTTGAGGGGGGAGAGGAGGAGGAGGAGGGGGGGGGAGAAGGAGGAGGAGAGGGAGGAGGAGGAGGAGGAGGAGGAGGAGGAGGAGAAGAAGAAGAAGAAGAAGAAGAAGAAGAAGAAGAAGAAGAAGAAGAAGAAGAAGAAGAAGAAGAAGAAGAAGAAGAAGAAGAAGAAGAAGAAGAAGAAGAGGAGGAGGAGGAGGAAGATAAAGTAACATTAGGAGGAGGAGGAGGAGGAGGAGGAGGAGGAGGAGGAAGATAAAGTAACATTCCTTGTCCCCCAAAGCTGGGTTTTGGTTTTTTTTTTAAAATAAAAAATTACATTGCAGGATTGTAAGGATTGTAATGTAAATCGCTTCTCGCCCAGCAGAATGTTATGTAAACAGCAAAGGTAATTTTTGTTTTTCAAGGTGGGTTTTCTCTCTCTCTCTCTCTCTCTCTCTCTCTCTCTTTTTGGCTCTTAGCCATTTCTACCTAAGGCAGGTCTTATTTTTGTGAATTGAAGCTGCGGTAGATGTGTGGACGGCCCAGTGAGAGAAGCCAAGATGGAGGACGGATCTACTGTTCCAAGTGGCGTCGTTAAGAGAAAAAGGGGGGGGGGAAAACTGGGACCTGGTTTGTCCCAAGTCTTCTGCTCCCTTAGAAGCCACCAAACAGCTTGGGATGGTCTCCTGGCCAAAGGGTAGATTAAGGGGGGGGATGTTCCTGGTTTGGTCCTTCGCCCCCCTGGTGCTTCTGACAGAAACACAAAGATAAAAGCCGCCCCCCCTCCCCCAGCCCTGTCCCCCTCCACCCCCCTACCCACCCCCAGGCCCCTCTGGGTCTGGGAGTTTCACAGCTTGGTTCACACAACTTTAGTGTCTTCAACCCATTCACAGAATGAAAACGGCTGTTCACCCAGGAGCGGTCGCTCCAAGGTTTAGATCAAGGAGTCCAGAGGGGCCGCTTTGGTGGTCACCGCGACTGCACCCCCAGCGTCATCTTCAAGTTCTCGTAGACCACGTAGCTGATGCTGACGGCGGGGATCACCTTCATGAAGTTGGGGGCCAGGCCCCTGTAGAGCCCAAAGGCGCCTTCGGTCTTCAGGATGTGCTTGAAGAGGCCCCTCATGGTCACCTGGGGGGCGCCTTCAATTGAAGCTGAAAAGAGAAGTCACGAGAGAGGCGTTGAAGGGCTGGCTGAAGGTTCCCAGAAAAGAACCCCTCGGCTGTTGTAGCCGTTTCTCCAGAGATCCTGGGGCGTCCTCTTACCTTGCGCCTGCATCCGTGTCCGCACCAAGGCCAGCGGGTAGCTGGCCAACTGCCCACAAGTGCTTGAGATGGTCCCGCAGGCCAACAGGACGAAGACCCCCGGGTCTGCGCTGTTCACGGCGTAATGCTGCAGCCAGCTGTTTTTTAACGTCTGGAAGGAAAGCGTCAACAATCCAGCGTCAACGGAGAAGCCAACCCGGGTCAAGAGCCTTGAGCAAATCCATTTGGCATGGACCTGTTCAGCTTCAGAGAAGCTGAAGCCGAAGACCGCTAGACCTTCAGCTTCACGTTGGGGTTTTGAGGGCCATCGGCCACCATCTTCAGAACTTCCCTTTCTGGAAAGTTAGTTGGCAAAAGAAGAAAGCTAGAGTAAGACTGAAGAAAACAGAAGCTTCGACCTCTTAGAGGGGGTTGTATTATTAATTAGAGGTTAAGAATAGATCGCTAGAAATAGAAGTATTATAACTAGATAGATAGGATTTGTAAACAGAATATCATTATCTTGGTATGAAAAGGGAAATAAGAATATGCTAAGAAGTTTGGTTACCCAAATATAACGTGTTCCGAAATGATGAATGATTGGGATATTTTGAACATGGATGGGAAAATTAAAATTGAAAAAAAAAAAGCGAAAACAGGATAGGGATTGAATAAATGGACATTGAGTGCAAATGCAATGAAGGTATGTTTTGGTTAGAAGAGATATTCTAAAATGATATTATTGATGCTACTAGAAAACGGTCACAAATGTTGATATTCAACTGTATATTTACGAACAGCAATAAGAATTGTATTTGCTTAGTGTGGAAAAATGTCTATGATCAGAAGAAGAGAGGATGTATTGGAGGGTGTAATATTGGATTTAGTTTGAAGAAGCTTATATGGACCACGGAATTACTAATGGACTCAGTCATCACGCTGTCTATTGAGCACTTGATTGTGAAAATCAGTAAAATATTTATTTTAAAAACCCTCCCTTTATAGATAGATAGATAGATAGATAGATAGATAGATAGATAGATAGATAGATAGATAGATAATAGAGAGAGAATGAAAGAGAGAAAGAGAATGAAAGAGAAAGAGAATAAGAGAAAGAGAGAGAATGAAAAAAATAGAGAGAAAGAGAGAGAGAATGAGAGAGAGAATGAAAGAGAAAGAGAAAGAATGAAAGAGAGAAAAAGAATGAAAGAAAGACAATAAGAGAGAGAGAGAGAGAGAGAATGAAAGAGAAAGAGAGAGGAGAGAAAGAGAGAATGAAAGAGAGAAAGAGAATGAAAGAGAAAGAGAATAAGAGAGAGAGAATGAGAGAGGGGGGGAATCCAATTGCTTACCTCGTAAACAGCCAGGTCAATCCCAGCATACGGGATGATGCCCAGCATGTTGGGAATGTAGCCCTTGTAGAAAGCAGCCAGTCCTTCTTTGGCCAGGATGTTCTTGGCACCGTCCAGCATCCCGGTGTACTGCCCGGTTTTACGCAGGGCCATCCGGGTTTTCAGAACCTACACCAACCAGAGGAAGAAGAAGAAGAGTGTCAGTGATCCATGCAGGAGGAAGGAGAGGAACAGCACCTCTGGGTCCGATGCCCAGGAGATTTAACCGCCAAGGAAAAGCAACGGAGCAGTAGAGGTACACTAATGTCTCCGATGAAGGCTGCCCCCTTGAGAATGTCAAGGGGGAAGGTTGAATGCCCTCAAACCATCTTCCCCAATCTGGCCCCCCTCCAGTCTTCTAGTCCGGGGGTCCCCAACCGATGGGCCACAGCCAATTACCAGGCCATGACCTGCTGCCCACTGGGCCGTGGGAAAATGGGGCACCACACTGCACGAAAATGAGGCATTGCGGGGTGACACGCAGTGCAAAAACAGGGCAGGGCTAGCGAGTGTCACGTGGGCCCTAGCGCCGTCCCGTTTGCGTCACGCACATGCTCGCGGCCCTGTTTGCGCATGTGCATAAAATGCTCCCCCATCCCTTTCCGCCCGGTCTGCCAGCCAACAAATGTTGGGGACCTCTGGTCTAGTCCCTGTTATTCTTCCCAGCGTGATCAACAATGGCCTTGAAGGCTGGTCCATCTAAGATCAAAGCTCTCCAAGCATGGCCACTCTTAAGGCTCGTGGACTTCAGCTCCCAGAGTTCCTCCTCCCGTTCTGGGAGTTGAAGTCCACAAATCTTTGAAGTTGCCACGTTTGGAGACCTCTGATCAAGATGGCAGCTGATTGGGGGTCATTCTTGAGGTCTTCAACCTCCAGCCACGTTTGAAACCGTGCCCAGAGGATCAAAGGACAGAAGACAACTCACCTCCATGGGATAAATGCTGCTCTGTGCAATGGCTCCAGCCAACGAGCCGGCCACCAGCCTCTCGTGAATCCTCAACACCTGTTGGTCTGTGCCGATGAAGCGTTTGATCTGCCAAGAAAGAGGTCCCATGCTTAGACTGGAGAAGTCTACCTCAACGGCCTCAGCCATGGGAACACACAAATCACCCCTGCCTCTTGGGGGGTCCTTGACGCCTTACCTGCTCATAAGCCATGAATTTGATAGCCGATTCCGGAGCGATCTTCAAGACGTTGATGCCGTTGCCGCGCCAAAGGGACCTGGGCCCACCTTCTCGGATCATCTGGGAAAAGCCTCCGACGATGCACATGTTGTTGCTGCGCGAAGCGTGGACCTGAAAGAGACAGACCACTTGGGGGTTGGATGGACACTCGCTCATGAGTTTTCATCCGTCTCTCGCCAACACCCCTTCAATTTGTCTTAGCCAGCCTAAGGAGCTAATCTCCATGCAGATCAACCTGTAAAAAAAAAATGTAGTAGCTTTGGGGAAAACAAGAGGTCCAAAGAAAACACGGACTTTGGCGCACCAGCTGAATCCACAGCAAATTCCATAAAAAGTGTGGATGGACAGCTTTGACCACGTCTGTGCAAAGTCCAGATTCCTCGGTTGACACACAGCAGGAGCTCTGCTGTCCTTTGATCGCCAACAGGGAAAAAAAAAAGTCACGAGTTGTCTCCCGTCCCACCAAAGCTGTCCTGCCAAGGCTGGACCGATAAAGACCGAGAGGTCATCAACATGGTCTGCGTCCAGCTTGCCAAGTCTCCAGGGACGCGTAGTTCTTTGGGAAGCAAAGCATGACAAGAATGATGTAAGGGCAACTTATATGCCGAAGGCAAATGTCCAAGAACTTCTGTTTCATATTGGTTTCCTCAACCTCTGAAGCTGGGTGATGTTTGCCAACTTTTTGGCCATTCACAGGGTGGCTTTAGGACCTTGAGTGTCTCCTCCACTCAAGAGGAAGAGTCCCAAAGGGGCTTTTTCAAAAGGCCACTGGACTTTCTTGTTTTTCCTTCGAAGACGTTTCGCTTCTCATCCGAGGAGCTTCTTCAGCTCTGACTGGATGGTGGGGAAATGGAAGGATTGATACTCCTTGCAGACCGCTGGTCCTTTATTTGCCTTCTTTTAGAGAGTCGTGGAGGCCTCCCTCGATTGGGGGATGATTGCTGGCGACTGGATGTAGATGTCCATGTTGTTGTTTTTAAAGCAAGAATATGGAACCCATATTGAGGGCAATAGAAGAAGGGGACGACAGAGGTTGAGGAAACCAATATGAAACAGAAGTTCTTGGACATTTGCCTTCGGCATATAAGTTGCCCTTACATCATTCTTGTCAAGAAGTTGCAAACAATGTCAAGCCGGGTTCCATTGTTGTTGTTGTTAGTTGCGAAGTCGTGTCCGACCCATCGTGACCCCATGGACAACGTTCCTCCAGGCCTTTCTGTCCTCTACCATCTTCTGGAGTCCATTGAAGCTCACGCCTACTGCTTCAGTGACTCCGTCCAGCCACCTCCTTCTCTGTCGTCCCCTTCTTCTCTTGCCCTCCATCTTTCCCAGCATTAGGCCCTTCTCCAGTGAGTCCTTCCTTCTCATAAGGTGGCCAAAGGACTTGAGTTTCAACTTCAGGATCTGGCCTTCTAAAGAGCAGTCGGGGTTGATCTCCTCTAGGACTGACCGGTTTGATCGCCTTGCAGTCCAGGGGACTCGCAGGAGTCTTCTCCAGCACCAGAGTTCAAAGGCCTCCATTCTTTGGCGTTTTATTTCAGATCAAGTGTATTGCAGTTTCACATAACCAGGCCTGTGAATTTCATGCCCAAATCCCTAAGTTCAACTTCTCCCCCCCAAATGCCCCTTATCCACCACACTGTATCCAATCAAGTCCATAAAGGTGCTTTTTTTCAGGAGGAAACTGGACTTTCTTGTTTTTCTCTGAAGACGTTTCGCTTCTCCTCCAAGAAGCTTCTTCAGCTCTGACTGGATGGTGGGGAATGGAAGGATTTATACTCCTTACAGAGAGCTGGTCATTTGCCTTCTTTTAGAGAGTTGTGGAGGCCTTTTCCTACCTGCATGAGCACCTTTAGACGGTCCAGGGGGGCAGTACAGGTCCTGGATACAGCGCCGGCGCCTCCTCCTGCCACCAGGTGGCGCCACCACATCCCCGTCTGCCTCTCTTCCACGGTGAATTCATCTGGGACGGTGAGATTCTCCCCCACGTCGAAAATCTGAAAGGCAAGCCAGCAAGACCCATCAGCCTCCGCCACCCTCAGGGACTCTCAAGATGCTAATGAGCATCACGCATCACGGCCATTGCATCACGGTCACGAAACGTGCACCAGCTTCCTGCCTAAAAAGCTTAGCTGTGCAAGCACAAATACACGTAGTCCTCAGCTTATAACGATTCAACCTAGAATCTTCCTGACAGTCAGAACAATTAACCAGTGGAACAACCCGCCTCCAGAAGCGGTGAATGCTCCAACACTGGAAGTTTTTAAGAGACTGGACTGGTGTAGGGTTTCCTGCCTGAGCAGGGGGATGGACTAGAAGACCTCCAAGGTCCCTTCCAACTTTATTATTATTATTATTTAGTGACCATTCAAAGTTACAACCGCACTGGGGGGAAAAATGACTTATAAACGTTTTTCACACTTATAATCATTGCAGCCTTCAACTCACTCACATTTACGACGGTCGCAACGTCCCGGTGGAGTCACGTGACCCCTTTTTGCGACCGTCTTGACGAGCAAAGTCAAGGGAGAGAAGCCAGACTCGCTTAACGACCGTGTGGCTAAGTTTACGATGGCAGTGATTTACTTAACAACTGTAATAAAATGGGGCAAAACTCACTGAACAAATGTCTCACTTAGCAGCAAAAAAAATTGGCTCCGTTGTGGTCGTAAGCCGAGGACCTGTGCTGTGAGTTCCTCTGAACGTGGCCAAATCCTGCTATGCTATGCGTAAAATTCAGCAAATTTTGACCGCCGACTCTTAACCCGCCACGAATTGCAATATATTATTCTGTCTGCCTTTTATTTTTATTTTACTAGGATTATTATTATTTCTAATGCTTTTATTTGCCGGTCTGTGACCGTAATAAAAATGGATTCTGGTTCTGTATGCAGGTGAGATCTTCCTGTCTTACCGTTGAATGCTTCCAATACAGGATAATTTCTGGAATATTCTCCACCGGGTGTAAGAGGTGATAATCCCTCCACTCGTTCCAGTCGATCGTCATCGTCCCGTTTTTGTCCATGCTGCAAGGATCAGCCGGAAGAGGACATTAAACATGTTACTTAAAAAATAAATAAAATTGAACAGCTTGTCTGATTAGACATTCTAACGGGAGGTTCTGGCAGCGAGGGAGAAGAACTGATCTGGTGACGTCCAGACAGTTATTCTAGACGCCACATTTTTTTTTCCCTAAAGGATGATTCATTGCACAAAATCGTATTTTTTTCCTTGGGTTCAAAATTCTTTCTCCCAAAAAATCGAGATGGATTTGAGGCTGTTTAGGAAAACAGTTGCTGAATTGCTTCGCTCCTCCGCTGCCAGATCGACGAGAAGCATGCAACCCGCTTCCAATTTCACCGAGGAGGACGGTGTTAGGAGATACACAAGGGCAAGGGGCCAGGCAGAAGTAGACTCCGTTGTACTTACTAAGTGACAGGACCCCAGACGTGCCCTGTCCTTATTCTGACAGACAGACAGGCAGGCAAGCAAAGGGGAGAATGCAAAGAAAGACGAGTAAGTGATTGTTAAAAAAAAAAATCAGGGCCGCCTGCTCACGAAAAGTCAAGTTATTTAAGACTTATGCAAATATAGAAAACAGAGTGCTGCAAACAGACACATGTATCTATGTATTTTAGAACTGAAGTGGGTTTCAGCTATCGGAGGCAGCTCTAGTGATCACTTCTGCGTGCTGTTTGCCCAGGTGTGCTGCTCAGCCATCCTGCAGCTAAGCATCACCCAGGTAAACACCCTCTCAGCCTGTTCCATGAGCTGGAAAGTTACCAGAAAAAAACAGAGGCTGCTCTAAAAGAGAGACAATTGGAGCACCACTGGCTTCAAATTCTCCAATATGAAGGCTGGCGGTGGAAAGAGCATTTTTGATGATTTTAATGTGTATTATGCTGTAAACTGCCCAGAATCGCTTGAGACGGGTGGCAAATATGTTTATTTAACGAGGGGTCCTTGGTGTTTCCTGAGCTTGTTTTTTTTTTCTTTTTTTGCAGACGTTTCATTATCCAAATTAGGTAACACCGTCAGTGCTGTTGATGTTATCTAATTTGAGGTGATGGAATGTCTGCAAGGAAAAAAAAAAGCCCAAGGTCAAACAGCACCAAGGATCTCTCATTTCGACCTGGAGCTAAAAATATCCTTCTTTACAGGATGAGAAGGGAGAGAGAAGGTGGGAGATTAGATAGATGATAGATAGATAGATAGATAGATAGATAGATAGATAGATAGATAGATAGATAGATAGATAGATAGATAGATAAGATAGATAAGATAGAGAGATAGCGAGATAGAGAGATAGCGAGATAGAGATAGAGATAGATTAGATTAGATTGATAAGACAGACAGACAGACAGCTATAGAGAATAGGTGATAGATAGATAGATAGATAGATAGATAGATAGATAGATAGATAGATAGATAGATAGATAGATAGACAGACAGATAGACAGAGAGAGAGAGAGAGAATAGATATAGATAGCTATAGAGAATAGATAGACAGCTATAGAGAATATATAGTTTTAGTTATAGAGAATAGTTATAGAGAATAGATAGATAGATAGATAGATAGATATGAGAGAGAGAGAGAGAGAGAGAGAGAGAGAGAGAGAGAGAGAGAGACAGACAGACAGACAGACAGACAGACAGACAGACAGACAGACAGACAGACAGACAGAGACAGACAGACAGACAGACAGACAGACAGCCAATCGAGACCTACATCGGGTCAGAGGCCGCAAAGGCACGACTCGGTCCAATGCTGCGGCGGCAGTTGTCTCCCAAGCCGCCGCCTGATTTTCCGCCGAGTCGTGGACCAGATCCTCCGGATATGGCCCAAGCTCCGTCAGGAACCTCTCAGGGTCCATCAGTCGCCTGGGGCGGAACCATCTAGGCGGTTCCGTCTCCCTGCGGCGAGGGGGAGCGGTCCGGGTCACTTTGCTTTATCATTGATCCTCCCAACAATCCTTCCAATATTTGGTTTTTAATTTGGTTTTATAGGGGTTTATATTTTTTGTATTTTTTGCACCTGTACCTGTTTTAATATGCTGTGCACCGCCCTGAGTCCTTCGGGAGAAGGGCGGTATATAAATTAAATTAATAATAATAATAATAATAATAATAATAATAATAATAATAATAATAATAATAATAATAATAATAATAATAATAATAATAATAATAATAATAATAATAATAATAATAATAAAAGTGTCTCTGCAAGGGGCCTCTTGGAGATGGGAGCCAACTGTTTATTCATTTACCTCTTGAGGATTTTCTCTGCCTGCTGTTCAGAGATCTTGACACCCAGATCTCGGAGGGACTGCATGATCTCCTGAGCGTCGATGCGACCTGCAAAATCCAGACGAGAGAAAGAGAGAGAGAGAGAGAAGTAAACCTCAAAGCTGGCGATGGAAAAGGGGCCAGCCGAAAACCAACCAGCCAGATTGCTCACCGTCATTCTTCTTGTCCAAGCTCTTGAAGACCAGCCTCAGTTTCTTCTCATGGTCCTGCAGGTAGTGAACGAATTCTTCAAAGTCCAGCTGGCCATCCAGATCCTTATCTCCAGCTTTTACGATTTTCTGCAAGGGGGGGGGGAGAAAAAAAATACAAAAATAATCTTGATTGGCTTCATAACAGCTATTGTTCAGCGTCAGGGAAGCATAGAGTCCACTCTGGTTCCTATTTAAAGAAAAAGCAACGAAACGTTCAAAGAAAGGAACACAGCTCTGTGCCAAAAAACACAAAACAAACCTTATTATTTTCTTCCAAGGAATGGGAAAAAGAGGCCAAGGATCACGTGCTCAAATTGGCTTCCCAAAGTTCTCCCAATGTTTTAAAATACGGAATTTTGGGAGAGTAGAAGCTGATCCCTTAATCCTGGGGAAGAATGGTTTTCACCATCCTAAAAAGAATCAGGAACCTTCTCCCAAACCAACTCGCTTAAGAGGTTTTTAATTGGAAAAACTCAAAGCATCTTTCATAACGTAGCCAGGATGTGTAATGGATTCCAGGCTGGCTTTGGGAAAGGCTGCGTCAATGGTCCACAACTCATTATAAACACACTTCTGCCATTTATTTTTTAATTTTAAAAAGGATTTGGGGCCCTGGATGCCACATAGTGGCTGAAGAATAAAGGAATAAAGCCATTTCTCCCCAACCGCAGGAAATTCTAGTGTCAAACTCTGCTAACATCGGATGTTTTTGCTTTGACAACAGTTGGAGATGCAACCATTTTCTTCTCATGTTTTACTTTTAGAGTTAGAGTTAGATGACGCTGGGAGGGGAGAGGAATGTGCATGAGAATTCAGCCAGACATAACAACACTGGACCTAGCCTGCGAACCAAGGTTATTGAAATAAGAGATGATAAGAATTGGCGGGCTGGAGAACTGGAGGGAAAGCCTGCATTTCAAACTAATTGGAGAATGTGATGTACGAATGTTAATTGGACGAAGGGATTGTGCTTTAATACTAGGTGCTCAGGGGAGGGAAATTCAGATTTCTCGATTGTGTTAGTGCTGCTACTATGCTTCTCTAATAAAGATTCTTTAAGGTAAACAATGCCTCAAAGTTCTTTGAAGAGTTTCACCTGTCGGAACCATGACATCTAGACTTACAACAGTTCGGGACTATTCAAAGTTACAACGGTGCCGAAAAAAGTGGCATATGAGCAGTTTTCACACTTACGGCTGTTGCAGCATCCCCGTGGTCACGTGATCAAAATTCAGATGTTTGACCACCGATTCCTATTTAGGACGGTCGCAGCGTCCCGGGATCGTGTGATCCCCTTTTGCAACCTTCTGACAAGCAACGTCATAACGGGGAAGCCAAATTCCACTCAACAACCGTGTTCACGCCTTAACACCTGCAGCGATTGCTTAACGAACGTGGCGAGTAAAGTCATAAAACGGGGGGGCAAAACTCACTGAACAAACGTCTCGCTTAGCAACATGGATTCTGGGCTCAGTTCCGGTCGTACAAAAACCACAATTCAGTCTCATTGCAACACTCAAGACATCCAAAGTGATCTGAACTGAGAAGTTCTGAAAAGCAGCCGAGTCAACCCAACTCCCTTAGGCTGGCTTTTTAGCCCTCCCCAGAGAAATATATATATATATTTCTTTAACAGGAAAACTAGCTATTTCTGGGGGAATCTAACTACTGCTAGAAAACCTGCTGGGTGAGCTAAGAAGCAACATTAAAATGCGATGGAGGAAGGCTTTAAAACAAGCTTCAACTAGTTTGGACGCCCTGCAGTTATATTCTTGTGTAAGAACCTGGGGGAAACTAGATTTCAGGAGCAAAGTGTATCTTTACAAAAGAGATTAAGAGATGGCAAGGTCAGCTTGTTCATAATTACACTTCACCCTGAACATTCCTGCGACCCGGAACAAACCCTTCCAGCCTTCACCAAGATGGGCAGGAGGGCGAGGGGACAATAACAGAGTTAGAAGGGACCTTGGAGGTCTTCTAGTCCAACCCTCTGCTCAAACAGGAGATCATTTACGATTCCAGACAAATGGTTGTCCAGTCTCTTCTTAAAAACTTCCAGTGATGGAAGATCCACAACTTCTGAAGGCAGGCTGTTCCACTGGTTAATTGTTCTAACTGTCAGGAAGTTTCTCCTGAGTTCTCGGTTGCTTCTCTCCTTGATGAGTTTCCATCCGTAGCTTCTTGTCCTGCCTTCAGGTGCTTTGGAGAATAGCTTGACTCCCTCTTTGTGGCAACCCCTGAGATATTGGAAAACCGCTATCATGTCCCCCCTCGTCCTTCTCTTCATTAAACTGGACATACCCAATTCCAGCAACCGTTCCTTATATATTTTAGCCTCCAGTCCCCTGATCATCTTTGTTGCTCTTCTCTGTACTCCTTCTAGTGTCTCAACAACTTTTCTACATCGTGGTGACCAAAATTGGATGCAGGATTCCAAGTGTGGCCTCACCAAGACATTGTAAAGTGTTATTAACACTTCACGTGATCTTGATTCTATCCCTCTGTCAATGTAGCCCATCTTGGCTTGGTCCACACAGTTGTGATATCTACTTTGCCTAGCCATCGGGAAACTGGATTTAGAGACAGACTTGGTTTTGAATACCATCCAGGAAGGAAAGATTTTCTTCCTGCGCTGAAAGTTCACAACTTAAAAATCACCCATCATACTCAAGCTATTCTCCGACCTTTGTTGACTAAATAAATAGCCTGGTATGCAAAGCCGAAAAACAAACAAATGAGGTGATTGTTGGTGTAAATTTTTGTTGCGATGGAATAACACAGCTCCACCCCTGGAAGAAACACCCCTACGGTGGGGTGTCTCATCTGGGCCGGTTACTCATCCCCACATGTCAGCCTGACTTGAGTCACCAATCTCTCTAAGAAGCATCCAGGATATCATAATATAACACTGAAGCAGCTGCCTGCAAAATGAAGGGTGCAAAAATGATGTGTTGGGGATGTTTGCATGTCATGTAAAATTCAGGATTTGGTGTGTGTGTGTGTGTCTGATTTTGGAAGAAAACGAAGCTGGACGAGTTTGCCAAAATTGGAAGCCAAGAAGGAAACATGGCTTCTTAAGGGGATGAGGATGGAAGGACTCCTTAAGGGAAGAAATCAAAATCCTGGCATGGAGAGAGAGAGGGAGGGAGAGAGAGAGAGAGA